AGATTCCTCCTATTAATCTAGTGATGTAGGCTGGGTTTCCAGTACAGCAGCTGATATACCACCAGTCTAACACAAGACAGACCTAAAACCTTCTGCATTATACTAACACAAGGTGGGGAGTAAGTGGCTCTCCAGCTGTTTTGGATGACGACTCCCAGCACTGGCAGGGGATTTGAAATCCAAATCATCTGGGGATCTACTTTCCATGTATTTCTGTACTAGAGGTGTCACAGCAACCTAGTAAGTTGGGGGGTTGTACAACACTGAATGTATGAATCCAAGCACGCTCATCGTAGCAGTTTTGCTTATATTGGCTGTGCCAACACACAGTGCAAGCTTTGAAAATCCCTTAATTCCAAAGGAATGTTAGGAATTCCCTGGTCTTGTTTTAAGTAATTTGAGTATGTGGGTGAGAGAAAGGGAGAAATCATTAAAAGTAGAGTCAAACATTAAAGTTGTTGCTTCAAATATAATTCACAAAAGTCTGAGGAACATCATAAGACTGCATTTAAAAATCTTCTGATGTTTCTCAAACTTCATGAAATTATGTTTTGAATCAACAGCTTTATTGCTAACCTCTAATGCTGTTGATGTGTTCTCTCTATCCAATTATTGCCTTTAGATGCAATTAAGTGCATGTTTATTGATGGGGGGAAAAAGTACACACAAAATTTGTTTCTTTCTTCTTGGAACTAATAAGGAAAGAGCAGCTGATGTGATACTAAGAAATGTATTTGGATGCAGTTAGACCGACATGCAGTTGACAGGTATAAACAACAGATGTAAAAATAAGGGATTCAACAACCTATTTTAATAACTGTTTTAAAGTTGTTTTAAAAATCAGATCTCTACCCCATTGTCTAGACATAGAAAATGCATTTGTAATAGCTGGCTGGGCATGTTGCAATTTGAAATCCAACACATCTGGAAAGCTGAACTAGCCATTTCACATAGAATCACAGTACTGGAACAATCAGAGCTGGCAGGAGCTTGAAGGCCATCGGGTTCAACCCCCACTCAGTGCAGGACGCCAAGTTAAGCCATTCCTCCCAGATTGGTGTCCAGCTGCCTCTTGAATGCTTCTAGTGCAAGTGAGTCCACAACCTCCCTAGGGCCTAGATAATTGGTTCCATTATTGTACTTCTCTAATAGTTCAGCATTTTTTTCTGATATCTAGCTAGAATCTGGCTTCCTGTAACTTGAGCCCATTATTCTGTGCCCGGCACTCTGGGATGATTGCGAAGAGGCCCTGTCCTTTCACGTACTTGTGCAGTGCCATCCTCTCTCCCCTCAGTCTTGTCTTCTCCAGGCTAAACATGCCCAGTTCTTCCAATATCTTCTCACAGGGCTTTGTTTCCAGCCCCTGTATCATCCTCGTTGCCTCCTTCTGAACCTTCTCCAGCTTGTCTGCATGTTTCTTAAGCTGCAGTGCCCAGAATTGGACACAGGACTCCAGATGGGGCCTAACCAGTGCTGACTAGAAGGGAACTATTGCTTCACAAGAAGTGTTATCTCTATTGATGCAGCCTAAAATAGCATTTGCCCTTTTTGCAGCTACATCACAGTGCTGGCTCATATTCAGCTTGTGATCTACAACAATTCCCAGATCCTTCTGGTTGCAGTATTGTTGCGCCAAGTTTTCTGTTTCTTATAACTATGCATTTGGTTTCTTTCTGCTAGGTACAGAACTTGGCATTTGTCTCTATTGAATTTCGTTCTGTTGTTTTCAGCCCAGCTCTCCAACCTGTCAAGATCACCTTGAATCTTCTTACTGTCTTCCAGGGTATTAACTATCCTGTGCAGTTCTGTGTCATCTACAAATCTGATAATCATCCCTCTTCCAATTAATAAAAATGTTGAGGAGCTCAGGGCCCAGGATGGAACCCAGAAGTACTCCAGTTGTTACCTTCCCTAATTTGAGAAGGTACCATTGATGAGCACTCTTTGAGTCTAATTCTGTGGCCAACTGTGGATCCACCTGATCATTGTTCCATCTAGCCCACTCTTTGCTAGTTTGCTAATCAGGATACCATGCGGCACTTGGTCAAAAGCTTTGCTGAAGTCAAGACGGATTATGTCCACACCATTCCTTCAGTCCATCAGGGAGGTTACCCAATCAAAAACTGAAATCAGATTAGTCTGACAAAATTAGTTCTCGAGAAATCCATGATGGCTTCTAGTAATCAATGCATTGTTTTCAAGATATTTGCAGACTGCTTTATAACCTGCTCCAGAATTTTCCCAGGGATTGATGTCAGATTGACTGGTCTGTAGTTCCCAGGTTCTTCTTGTTTTACTTGCTTGAAGATAGGAACATTAACCCTTTTCCAATCATCTTGCACTTCCCTGCCCTTCATGATTTCTTAAAGATAATAGAGAGTAGTTCTGAGAGTTCTTCTGCCAGCTCCTTTTATGACTCAAACATTCAACCCAATTGGATGATCCTTGATCATTTACCTATCCATCTTGAGCTGCCATCCTGCTCCTTCAGCTTATATGTCCCCTTCTTCAGGAAGGTCATAGATCTTTTGGAAGAAGACAGCCAAAGTGGGAATTGAGCACTGCTGCCTTTTCTTTGTCATCTGTTATCATTTTGCTATCCACGTTGAGTAGCTGAACCCCCATTTCATTCCTCTGTCTTTTACTTTGGACAAATCTGAAGAAGGCTTTTAGCATTCCTAATTTTTCTTAACCGCTCAGAGAGCCTTGGCTATTGGGTGGTATAAAAATGAAACAAATACATAAACAAACAAATAAACATACCTCACTGGCCTTACTTCATTCCTAGCTTTAGCCCTCCTGATGCCTTTGCTGCAATTTCACGCTACCTGCCTGCATTCTTCCTTGGTAGACTAGCCTTCCTTCCACTTTGTAGACATATCTTTTTTTTTTTTTTTTTTGCTTTCACATCATCTCTACACTTTTTGTGAAGCCACATGTTGTCGTCTATCTTTTTAGAGAATTGTTTGTAATTGTAGCTTTAGAATTTCCTTTAAAAAAAAATTGCCCATCTTGGGCTCTTTTTCTCATTAAAGTCACTTACCATGAGACTTTACTTATTATTGTTCTGAGGTTATTAAAATTGGCTTTCTTGAAATCCAGGGTATGTGTTTGGCTAAATTTGGCTTTTGCTTCCTTTAGAATCAAGAACTTACATATGGCACGGTCACTTTCCCCCAGAGTTCTATAGATGCCACTTTGTTCACTAGGTCTTCCCCGTTGGTTAGTAGGAAGTTAAGGATAGCCATTGGAAACACTGCCCTAAGAGGGAGACTGAGAGAACTGGGCTTGTTCAGCCTTGAGAACAGAAGACTGAGAGGGGACATGATAGCCCTCTATAAGTACCTCAAAGGCTGTGACAAAGAGGAGGGACAGAATCTCTTCTCTTCTCTTCTCTTCTCTTCTCTTCTCTTCTCTTCTCCCAGAGCACAGGATACAGAATAATGGGACTCAAGTTAAAGGAAGCCAGAGTCCAGCCAGATATCAGGAAGAACTTTCTGACTGTTAGAGCAGTACAACTGTGGAACCAGTGACCTAGGGAGGTTGTGGGCTCTCCCTCATTGGAGGCATTCAAGGTGCGACTGGACAGCCATCTGCAAGGGATGGTTTAACTGGGAATCCTGCACTGCACAGGAGTTGGACCTGATGGCCCTTTGGACCTGTCCAACTTTACTGTTCTATGATTCTCTTGATTCTAAGTCTGAAGCTCCCTCTCTTGACTGCCACCCAATTTTCTGCAGGCCTGCACACAGAAATGAGCACCGTGGCATTGTAAGTTTATTGACCGTGTCAACAACGGATGCTTTGGTGCATATATTCAGATGAATGGGGGCAGACTACAGGAAGCACCCCAGTTTTCTGCACAGTGCATCCATTGACAGCTCATGCCCATTTTTATTATCTCCAAAATGTTCAGGAGGGCTTGCTTCATAGCAAGTGTGTTGTTGAAAGAAGATTGTGGCACATGCATTTCCAGCCACAAGGATGCCCCAATTGTATCTCGCTTGCACTCCTTGGGAGACCTTAAGTTGGAGATGACTTGACAGCAGAAAGCAACAACAGTGATTGAAAACCCTCCAAAATGTCCTGCCCAGGACAACTCTGCTTGGCTCTCTTTAGTTCAAGACTGAGGCGTCCTTTATGGAGCCGGTCCATCCCATTTTTGGTCTTCCTTTTCTTTTTCTGCATTTGCTTTTCCCTAGCATGATTGTCTTCCCTAGCAAGTCTTCCCTTCCCATGAAGTGCCCAAAGTGCAAAAGCCTCCAGGGTTGGTCACTTTTGCTTCTAGGGAAAGCTCTGGCTTGACATGGTATTGGACCCACTCTTTTTGCCTGTCAGGGTATTTGCAAGGCTGTCCTCCAGCACTTGGCAGAATAATGAATATTTTAAAAAGGTCTTTGCTCTAAGGAGTTTACAAACCGAAAATATGATCCAACCAAGATTAAGCTACTGAATCTGATTCTGGCAGAGCAACCGGAATCCTAATCTCATTTCTGGACACTCACAGCCCAAGCTCTCTAGGCACTTGACCACAGTCGGGCAATTCCACAAATTAATTAAAATGCAGGTGATTCATCCTTCAGATATTATTACTATGTTAGTTGCAAAGATTATTCAATAGGTTGGTTCCACTTTTGTCCTTACAGGTTCTGTCCCAAATTGCCTTCCAGAACATCTCCACAGAGCCGCCCCTCTCTCTCTCTCTCGTTTTCCCTGTGTCTCGTTTTACATTGTAAGACGCTTGGGGCAGGGGCTTTCCTTCGTCTATTTCGTACAGTACCGTACACCGGCCGAAGCGAAATCAATGCCCACAGAGGACAACAAGCCACAAAAGCGCAAAGACCTGAAGAGCAGCCTTTCCCAGCCTGGAGCCCCCGCTCCGCAGGGCCGCCACACTCCAAGTCCCAGCATCCCCGCTCAGCCGCTCTGCCCTGGGGAGAGCCGCGGGCGCGGCAGGCTGCCGCAGGGCGCTCCCCCGCGGGCGGCTCGCTCCCACTCACCGGCGATGTCCCAGAGCTGCAGCCGCACCACCGTCTCGGGGTCCCAGCTGAGCACCTTGAGGGCGAAGTCCACCCCGATGGTGGCCCGGTAGTGCGTCGAGAAGTTCTGGTGCACGTAGCGCTTGATGATGCTGGTCTTGCCCACGCCCAGGTCGCCGATCACCAGCAGCTTGTAGAGGCGCTCCTTCTGGCCGGCCGCCGGGGAAGGCATCTTCCGCGCCGCGCGCGCCCTGCCCTGCCCTGCCTGCCCTGCGCGCCCTGCCTGCTGGCCGGGCCGCGGCGACTGCGGCTCGCGGTGCGGGCGCGGGGAAGGCAGCGGGGAAGGACGCGAGGCCGGGAGGGGAGGGGAGCGGCGAGGCGGGGGCCGGCGAGGAGGGAGGGGAAAGCCGGCGCCCGAGGAGCTCTCCTAGCCGGCGGCCGGGGCGGAGGCGGCCCCCAGCGGAGGGGCAGGCCCGCTCCTCGCTTCGGAGTGACTCCGCAGCCGGGCGCGCTTCACTCGGCCCAACTTTTCTCTTCTTGCAAAGTTTGCGCTGGAAACGGCGTGCTTGGAACAGATCCAGTCGCACGCCTGATTTCCACCTCCTTCCTCGCCCTAACCAGAAGGCACAATCCCGAGAAGATACACGGTAGCGGGCTGTGAGTGTTTTACGTTTCCATTAAATCCGATGCATTGCAATCTAGTCGGCATCTATAGCCCCACTGCAGGCTCACGGAGCCCGGATCGGGGCCCCAGCAGGCGACGGCGGCCGCGGAAGAGGTAATGCTCTAGCAATGCCCTTTCCCCGGAGAGTCTAAAATTGGGCCACCCCCTGTAACATTCATTTACAAAGTAATCCATACGCTTGAATAGAATTACTCCAAGCGTTAGGACTTCCACGCTCAGAATCCGCACGCCTGTTGTTAAGGGCTTTGTGTCTTTAAACCGCAGAACCCGATTCGTGTCTACTCAGAAGTAAGTTCCATTGCCTTCAGTGGAGTTTATTGTCAAGTAGGCAGTCACAGGACTGCGGAATTAGTGTGGAATCTTATGCACGTCCAGACAGAAAAAGCGGGAGGAAGCGAAGCCGTTCCCAGGCGCGAAGGATTTCTTTCTGCCAGTTCAGGGTATTTGCAAAGCTTTCCTCGAGCACCATGTGTCCAGCACATCCATTTTCTGCCCTCCAGCTTCCTTCACTGTCCAGCCTTCACCCCCATACATAGTAATCAGAAATAGAATAGTGTGGATAGCCTTGGCCTTGGATTGAACCTCCATGTTCGATGGCAGTGTATCAGGTAGGAGCAACAGGAACACAGCTGCACAGGCACCATTATTAGCAACTGAAATCATCCATCCCCATCAGTATTTTCTGTTTTCTCTGAACATAGTTGCAATCCTCAAAGTATTTTTTAATTATATTTATACTCCACCTTTTTTTCCTTTTAAGGAACTGAAGGGGGCTGACACGATTCTCCTGACAATCTTATCCCCACAACAACAACCCTGTGAGGTAGGCTGGGCTGAGAGTCTGTGATTGGCTTAAAGTCTCCCAGTGAACCCCACAGCTGAGAGGGGACTAGAACCCAGATCTCCTGAGTCCCAGTCCTGGGCTCTTAACCACTACACCATCCTGGCTCTTGTTGCAGCCACAACACTCTCAAGAGGTGGCAGCGGTGGTGGCGGCAGCAGCAGTAGCAATTTATTTCTTTATTTATTAGGGTTTGCTGCGAAAATGAATTTCCCATCAACAATTCATTGCTCTCTGCTGTATTTTTCTTTGCCAAGAGTTCTACAAAAAAGCTGCCCCCAGAGAAGATGAAAACAGCTTCAAGTGTGTGTTTTTAAATATGGATCAATAGAACTGCCAGAACTTTTGGACTTTCCTTAGGGAATAGTTATGGGTATTGTTAGGAAAGGTGCCCGCTGGTCAGAATTTACAACTTCGTGGCTGCCAGCGAGCAAGCAGGGGAAGCCACAAGCAGCACATGAGTCTGCTTACGCCCTCCTGTACCCAATCATTGATTTTTGGAGGCACAGAGGAAAGAGCCATTGGTCACATCTTCCACGAATTCATCTAAGCCTCAGTGAAACACCATGGCCACCAACCAAGCATGGCCTCTTGGCTGGGAACCCTCTTGGGCTCGCTATTCTGGTAGGGAACTTTGTCATTTAACAGGACCACTGTGAGCAGAAGTCCTGGCTTTTATCTCTTCTGAATCTCCCATGGTTCTGCTTCAGGCAATGACCACTTCTTCTAGTGTTGATGGAGAGAAACAGAATCACAGAATAGTCGAGTTGGAAGGGCCATGAAGGCCATCAGGTCCAACCCCCTCCTGTTGCAGGACACCACGTTACACCATCCCACTCAGAGGGCTGTCCAGTTTCTTTTTGAATGCCTCCAGTGTGGGAGAGCCCACCACCTCTCCAGGCAGCTGGTTCCACTGTTGTATCACTCTGACAGTGAGGAAGCTTTTCCTGATGTCCAGCCTGAACCTGGGTTGTTGCAAATTGAATTGATCATTCTGTGCTCTACACTCTGGCATCAGCAAGAAGAGGTTTTGACCTTCCTCTTTGTGGCAGCCTTTGAGGTACTTCTAGAGGGATATCATGTCCCCCTCAGTCTTCTCAAGGCTGAACATGCCCAGTTCTCTCAGTCTCTCCTCATAGGACAGTGTTTCCAAGCCCTGGATCCTTTTTGTTGCCATCTTCTGGATCCTTTATAATTTTTCTGCATCTTTCTTCAATCTTGGTGCCCAGAACTGGACACATTATTCTAGATGAGGTCTGACTAGTGAGAAGTATAGGGGAAGTACTACTCGTGATTTGGAAATAGTAATTCTGTTAATGTGTCCCAAAATAGCATTTGCCCTTTAGGCGGCTGCATCACATTGTTGGCTCTTATTTAGCCTGTTGTCCACAAACAATGAAGAACTTCTCATACATTAGCTTCTTGACTCTTCAGTGTTCCAGCAAATGATTCTCATAGGGTTTCTTGCCAGGCAGAATGAACCTAAAAGTGAATCAGTCATGAGATCATCCAGAGAAAGGGATACCTGCTTTTTTAGATGACTTGGTACCTCAAGAACAGTGGTGTTGGCAGCCATCTTGAAGGCTCCCCCACGTGGCTGGGGGCTCAGTGGACCAAAGCTCTTGTCCCCCTGTTCTATTGTATTATATTCACTGATCCAGTCTTAGGATCCAGAAAGTGACTTCTATAAAAAAAAATCCAGTGCACCACAGAAAAAAGCTTGTTTTTGCTTTGTATTTGTGGAGACAACAATTTTACCAGCCAGTTTGGGTTAGGTTCTGTTTTCCTTATTTCCTCCCACACTCTTCTGAGCAAAACATTCCCCAAGGTGAAAGGACTACTGATTCATTAAACATGGTTGTGGTGAAGATGGTCCTTGACTCACTGCATACCCACTTTACTGATTGGCTGAGAGATAAGGAATTTGCATAAATAAATATGCAGTGGTTCTCTTGTGTAATCCAGGGTTCATGGTGGGAAATATATGCATTTGCCGCAGAAGTTAGATGTGTATTTTTATCAGTTGCTTCGGTAATTATTTTTGAAGAAACATTTTTCTTAAAAAACCAAAACTAAACTAACAGAATGCAAAGCAAAGTCAAATAGAAGTCAGGGTGATTTTTCCCGACTTGGAATGGTCAGTATGTGCATGAAAGAGGATTATGTTAGAATAGAGCAGTTTAATTCTATCCTGTTTTATAGTTCATTTTCTCAAGAAGAGAAACCTGGGGCAGGTTTTGAAAAAGCTCTGGGAATTATTCTATTATTCAATAAATTGACTTCGCTCATATTGCTTTCCTCCATCATATGCTCTTGGAAGTTTGATGTGGCTGGCTCTGTATCCTGTATCCTCAAGGCAGTCATAAGCTTTTGTACTTCAATCTTCTCAACAGATTTGAAGATCAGGGTCTTAATCCAGCATATCCAATCCACAGACCACTGACTTCAGGTCCGTGGACCCGATCCAGTATACTTGGGGTAACCATTCAGGGTTTAGCAGATGCCCACTCCTTTCCCCCAGCTTCAATCATTTGGGGGTTGCCCAGTCATTGTGATATTTTCATCCATTCTGAGATGTTAAAATGCTTCTTCTCAGGCTTAGTTACTTGCACCAAGAGATTTAAAGTACAATATGATAGCATTTTGGCCCAGCTGCTCTTTTCTTTGGCCGCATTCTGCCTTGCAGTGCAGCTGCCAAAAGCTTCTCTGGAAATGAATTTAGAGCAATGTTCTCCAAAATGTTGCCCTTCAACTGTATTGGATTCCTACCCTCATTCTCCTCCAGCCAGCATGGGGATTTGTAGTCCACAGCTATCTGGATGGTGCCAGGTTAGGAAAGATTGCAGAAAAGTGTTCTGCAAAGGCAAGTATTCCAGTCTTCCGGTGACCTATTGGGCTGGCCCTGTGTTGATGGTAGGTAAGAGGTGGAATGCCAGGCTTCTCACAATAGAAGCATCATTGAACTGATAATGGGGGCAGCTTTTTACCTCTTAGTTTGGAAATCCCTGTTAATCCGAGTGGAGTTAGGTCAACCAATTTTCCACCTTAGTATGAGACATAATGCTATATTCCTACATGCCTTCTCTCAGTTTCTCTCTCTCTTTCTCTCTCTGTGTGTGCACAGGTGGCTGTAAGACACCAGAACACTTTCTTTATAAAATGGCACTAATAGCTCTGCTTTTTCCAGCCAAATTTAGTTTGCTAGCTAATTATTTCCGATGGAGATGGAATTCACTGCCATGGGAAGTGGTGATGGCTGCCAATCTGGATGTCTTTAAAAAGGCTATCAGTGGTCACTAGGCTTGCTGACCATGTGCTACCTTCTTTCCCACGGGTGGCCTGCCTGCATTCACCAGCTGCTGAGCAGGAGGAGGTCTTGTACCCATCCTGCTGGAGGGATCCAGGGGGCAGCTGCTGCGCCATTGTGTGTACGGAGTACTGAACTAGATGGACTTGGTCTGATCCAGCATGGCTCTTTTTGTGTTGCCTTGACCCAGTCAATATGGTGGACTTGATGGGGGATGGGGCTTGCTTCCTGGGAAGGGCCAGGAAGTGGCTGAGGGCAACACCCACTGGCCCTGCTAAAGGCAACAGAGCTGAAGAGTGGAAGAGTTCTGCGGAGGGACCTTTACGCAAATACATCTTGGAGGTTTCTTGATAAAGCAGGGTCTGGTTTTGTGGTGCTGGAGGAGACTCCTGCAAGTTCCTTGGACT